TCCCGAGCCGACTATTAGAGGAGAAGGACCGCACCATGATACGAAAACTTCATGCGATGTTGGCTAAGGCCAATGTCGACTTATCTCCTCCTGAGGTGTTGAAGAAAATACCGGCCTATGCATGATTCTTCAAGGAGATGGCCACAAGCAAGAAGCGGTTTGAGAATGGTGGAGAGGTGATCACTTGTGAGGCGGCGAGTGTCTTCTAACATGACTTTCCGAAGAAAGAAAAGGATCCCGGAGGCTTCATGATCACTATGGCCTTCGGGAATGGGGAAGAGACATCAGGGTTGCTTGATCTTGGAGCAGGCATTAACCTCATGCCACTCGCGGCTTATCACCGCCTCGAGCTTGGAAACTTGAAGCCCACCAGGATGCGCCTACAGCTGGCTGATGCTCTTTCTGCCAACCAGCAGGGATTGTGGAAGATGTGCTTGTCCGAGTGGGGAAGTTGATAGTGCTTGTGGACTTCGTTGTGCTCAACATAGGAACGTGCAAGCAAACGGTAGGGTGCACGCCATCCTCCTCGGATGACCCTTCATGGCGACCACGAGCACTGTTATAGATGTGAAGAAGGGGATGGCCAACATGACAATATTGGGCGAGTCCATTGTCGTTTATGTACGAGAGACTCGACTTGAGCCATAGGTGAAGTTCGTAGAAGAATGTGGGTACCTTAGGGCTATTGAGCAGCTTACCGAGGAAGCGTGTATGCGAGAGTACACAAAGAAGTCACTGCAGGACCTTGCCCCTCCCCAGTCGAGTTCCCGAGAGTTGCCCCGATCCCAGTGAGACGAGAGATTTGAGCTGACAGAGGCCCGCCGCTGTTCAGGAAATGACTACCTCCACTCTCCACCTGCACCACCGGATTCACAGTGACTAGTCTAGTCATTGTGCTTTGTACTTTTGTATCTTTTCTTTTTTCTTTACTTTTATTTTTGGTTTAGTTTTTCTGGTTTTTATGTTGGTTGATTAAATAGGTTAACATCCCTTGCACTGAAGATCGACAATGGGGACATTGTTTGATTTTAAGTGTGAGGGAGTTTTACATGATTATGTGCTTATATGGTTGATCAGGTCTAGGTCTTTTAGGATGTTTTCATTTTCTGCTTTCGTTTGTGTGTCTTTTCTTGAGTCGGTTCGTGTGTTTTTAGAGCATGATCATGGTAATTTTGAGATTTGTTGATGATTGTTGATGATGTTGAGGAGATGTGATGATGATCATGACCAGTATGCCTTGATGAACTTGATGTTTCGTTTTGTTGGACATTATTTACCTTATGTGAGGATTTGAGCCTTACTTTGTTTCTTGAGAGATATTGGTCGGATTCTTTGTTGATTGGAACTTGCTTTAAGTCTTTTCTGAAATAAATTGATTGAAGTAGTGATTTGTAAAAATGATTGAGGCATTTCTTTGACATTGCTCGTTTTAGCCTTTTTCATTGACCCTTAAAGTTACATGTTCATTAGTAGCCCGTTGAGCCTGAACAATTTCTTGTCATCCAATTCGATTGAATTATTTGAGACTTGACAGTATACTTGATATGATGATGAAGTTGTCTAATTTGTGTTTGGAGAAGGTTTACTTATTTGAGTTGCATTTGAGTGCTTGACAAAATAAATAAAAAATAAAAAAACTAAAAAATAAAACAATAAATAAAAAATGGAAACTCGCAAGACGGATAGAAAGGATTCTACTCCGCTTACTTGTTGAAATTCTTCGACGAGTAATGAGTATTGGGAAACCACTCTAGGAAACTTGGATGACCTCCAATGTTTAAACCTAGAGAATGTCGTCCTTACGTCTCAGTCTTGTTAGAAAAAAACATTCTCCCTAAAAATATATCTATATATATATTAAAAAAAGTCTAGTACTTAATTTGCATCTCAGCTTGAGCATGTATGAGTGTTGTTTTGAGTCTTGATGGGAATGGTTTATCATGTTGATGTTGGATAAGTGGTAAGATGTTTGAGTTATTTTTGTGCTCGAGGATTTGATTGTTTACCTGAGCCACTTTATCCCTATATTTGTCCTCCCTGTGATGCAGACACTGCAACCCAGAAGTCCCCTTGATTTGTAAATTCATTATTTTGATTGTTTTAGAGTATGAATAGACAATGAGCAAACTTATGTTGATGCATGATGATTGACCAATTTGAGCGTCCCAGTTTTATATTCATTGAAAGAAATCGAGTGAGGCATTTATATATTATATTTCCGTACTCGAGAGTTGTCTTTTCAAAATGTTGCATTCAAGTGTAATTGAGGTATGCATGATTGGTCTTGGAAGTTTCCTCGGCTGAGTTAACTAATCTGAGGCTTGTCTTATTTAAACTATTATCCATGCTCGTTTGCTTGCTTTCGTGTTTTTTCCTTTCTTTTTGTTCGGGACAAACAAAGGTTTTAGTGTGGGGGATTTGTTTGTCCCATTTTTGTTGCATTTTTCGTGATTATTTTTCCTTTCTCCCCTCACAATAGGTCTTTTAGTTGGTTTTAGTTCGTTTTGTAGGTTCTTTCGTATTTTCATCTATTTGGAGTCCTTTAGGTGTTTTCTTTCGTTTCCCGGTTGTTTTTCGGTTTTTCTTCGTCGTTGGTGTGCAGGTTGAAAGTCTCGAGAGATAGTCTTTCATGAAAATATTATTCATGCGAGCGCAATTATATTGAGGAGTTCGTTGGCATCACACAAGAGAAAACGGGATCGAATTTTGAGTCCAAACGAGCGTACACGAGCCCGAGACGCGAAGTCATGCGACGTAGACCCACGAGACTCCCAAGTGTCACGCCGCGTCGCGACGCTCTCACGACATCAACAGAGCAGCATTTCTTCTCTGCTGCGCCGCGAACTCCACCGCGCCGCGAAGACTCCACCTGCTGCGTGTGCCGGTGCGCCGTGCCGCGGCACCTACTGTTACTACTCCCAGCATGCTCCATGAAGACCGCCGCACCGTGAAAGGAAGCTCTGCCGCGCCGCAAAGAAGCTACACGCCGCGACGCCTGGTACCTGTTATGTCCATGCCCAACACATCTCGCGAGGCCCCCGCGCCGTGAAGGAAGGGCCTGCCGCGCCGCGATGCGCCGTCGCGCCGTGAGAGGATGCTGCCCCGCGCCCGTGAAGCTGTCTCGCGCCGCAATGCCGTGCCAATATAAATCGGAGATTGATCGCGATTAGACGACATTCTTACGCACAGATCACACAAAACCCTTATTTCCATTCTTTCTCTCGTTCTTTTCATTTTTCTTTCGTGTTTTTCACCGTGAATAAGGATTTGAACCTGGATTACGCTATTTTTGTTGGATTAATCTTGTTTACATCATCCAATTCTGTTATTCGTAAGTTTTCTTATCCATGGATATGTTCACTTTGATTATGGTTATTTGTGTTGATTGTTCGATTATGAGTGGCTATATTTTTATGCTAGGGATAGGGGATTGAAGTTTTGATTTGGTTTATGATTGTAGGTGTCCGTTGATTGTTCATCTTATACGAGTTAATCTCTAATTAGGGTTTTGCTATTATTTGGCTTGAGTTTTGAGAATTGTTGAAGGGTGACACTTCAACTTGCAATTGTTTTGATTGAGTTCGATAAATTCGTGCTTGATGATTTTAAATCTTACCGGGCTAGTTGATTAACCACCTTCTAGTCTAAGTTAATCGACTCTTAGAATCGAAAGGGGAGGATTCGGTCGAAATAGGCTTGCATAAGCTAGGCTTGTTCGTAACTTTATTCTCTAGGAGTTAAATGACTTGTTAATTTGCCGTTCTAGTTTATTCTCTTGTTACGAATAGTTATTGAGAATGACTACTTGAACTTGTCGGTTATTCAAATCACTTAACTGAACAATCACCTGCCCACTAATTGCATTTCAAACCAAAACAGATATCCCCGACTCTCTAGCTTCTCAAATCCTATTTGTTCTTCGTTGCTATTTTTATTGTTTTATGTAATTATTTGCAGTAGTTGATAATTCAGAACCAACCAATCTTTTGATTAGAATGTTTAGGAATTTTATTTTTCCTTTTTGTGTTTGAATAAACGTACAGAATATTGCGGCTAACCTTCCTTATAAGAC